GGAACCGATTGTGCAACAAATATGCAGGAAGAAATGGAGATGGATTGGTTGGCCATACTCCGAGGAAACCATTAAGTGACATCACTAGATAAGCCCTCGAGTTGAACCTCAAAGGGAAGCGGCGAGTTGGTCGTCAGTGCAAGGGTGACTTGGAGGAGGTCATGTGAAGAGGAGATGACTTCGTGTGGGTAGACTTGCAGTCAGGTGAACCGAATGCAATGGGGACGCACGGCTGAAGCCCTATGTTCCTCTAGGAATTAAAAGAAACAATAATAATAATAGTTACCAATTCCTTAATCTTATTTTCATAACTGTTTTCAATGTTATTCGATAAACCTACATCCAATAGTATTACAAATGCTGAAAATTCCATACTGTAACATTAGTACTGCTTTGGAATAAAGCAAGTTATTAATATTAATTAATAAAAAGGACAAAATAGCTGTCTAGCGATCCCTGCATTTCAGTGATTCTGTAAGTGAGAACAGCTCGTAATCAATTTTGTAATCAATCAAATTCCTTTAAGGTCAACACCTGAACACTCAGATTGTGTTTTAATGGAACTTGACTGACAATATTTCATATTTTTCTTAAGTATGGTCAAAATTGATAGTGTTCTTGCTTATTGGCACCCATCAAGACAGCTTGTCTTTATTCTATAAGAGAAACTAAGATTAAGATTAGCATTGCAGTGAGGTACGTCACCACTGAGAACCTTGGGTGGTGGCCTGAGTTGGAAGTGAAAACTGACACTTGTATTGACATGACAGAAATGTCAAGCAAAGTAGGCGATATTAGGGATGAAAATTTGGAAAAATGGTAAAATCACAACGAATGACACACAGTCAACTGACAAAAAATTGTTAGACCCTTTGAAAATACTATCTCAGTTAAGCATAAGCTTCCTTCTTTTTACCCTGAGAAATAATAATGTAGGTGGTACGTACGAGTTGTCATTCCTGGAAGGGATATATTTTATATTTTTTGGGGATTCTGAAAAAAAGACCTATTTATAGAAAACCTATCTGGATAGGACGGTATCTTGATTACCACAGTTCCTGCCCTGTTCGGTTCAAAAGAACCTTAGTAAAGTGCCTCTTTAGGAGAATCCAACGAATATGCACTGAACACACACTTGATGAGGGAGAAAGAAAGTTGACACAAATTCTGGTTGATAACAATTATCCAGGCAAATTCATCAGGAGATATAAAGTAGTCAGTGGAACACCAAGACCCACTCTACAACTCACGCCTAAGAAAGACGTGTACATCAAGCTACCCTATATGGGGCATCATAGTAGCTTGATAACTGGACAAAGACTGAACGCTGCTTTTAAAAAGACTTTTTATGCAGCTTATATCATAATAAATGAGTATGTAAAGCCAATATATCCAACCATCTAAGCCCTTCGAACATGCGAAAAATGATGTCACATCCCACTGTATTTCCTAATTTGAACGTACGTGTGAACACACATACATTGGGAGGAGGACTCATCGATCTCTGCAAGTAAGCGCTGGCTCCAGAGCATATTCCTAAATGTCTCCAGAAACAAATGGAATCTTCAGGACCCATTCATATTGAGAACAGGAGACCTAGCTCCTCTATTGCGAAACATATTATAGAAACAGGACATAAAATTGACGTTAACAGATCTTTTAAACCTATCTATTCTTAAGTCTGTGGAAGCCCTAGCAATTAGAAAGTTTAAATTACCTTAATGCGTTCAAAGCAACAATTCGTCATCACATTAAACCTTCCTTGGTAAACTTTGTTTTGATACCAGAGTAGATGTACTATTGTGGTAAGAGCTGTCTACTAGCCAGTTGGTTGACAGTAACTGAAGTCAAGGTCAAGATGGACAGGCGGATACAGTTAACATATAGATGAACTGACACAGACACAAAGAGATGCAAGGTTAACTTTGTGTGAGAAACAACCAATCAACAGACTATATTTTCTACTAACATTGACCTACAATAATGTACATCAAAATCTATAAATATGTGTTGATTTTCCGTAATAAACGTTCTGTTGCCTGGCCCTTGTCTTCTGCTGTTACACTATTACCTCTGTTATTTGGTTTAGTGGTCTTCATTGTTATTTTGACCTTCAATTTGTCCTTTTAACTTGACCTAACTTGTCTATTTTCTCACCTCTTACCTCTTTATTAATTTCAAATATATTCCTATGACAAGTCCGTGTGTGTGATCCGATTGTTCGAAATGTGTTGCGCAAATATATTACACGATTCAGACAAACTACATCTTCTTATTGCTTTATTGAAAAGTTCATGTTTTGAGTTTTCTGGCATAATTCTGAATCCCCCTAGCATGTAGACTCAACCCTTTTCACACAGGATGTTAATGACAGCCCGATTAACTGAATGTTAAATTCTGTGATTGTTACACACAGTTAGCCACGTGCTCTTAGGTCTTAGATAACGTCATTTCCATAGAGGTTTCTTGTGCAATTTCTCGACTAGTATCAGAAAGTGCGATATCCAAAAACCTGAACCTTCCTGGCAGTCGCTTCGAATTATCTAAAATAGCTTCATCTGTACTGGTGAGATTTTTCTCTAGGAAGATTGTCTATCTTGTCTCACTGTTATTTCGTATAATGTCTCTGTCTGGATTCAACATAGAACGTGGCACCGAAGTCCAGCAGTTCGAGTTGCCACGTTCCAGACAGCACACAAAGGTAGACAAGAATATGAGTGAAGACAGTCAATAGAGTTTTGACAAGTATAACAGTTAAACAGAATGAGTAATGGTAGGAAGGAATATGAAAGATTACAGAGACTGAATACATCTGCGTAAGCCATTGACAACGATTTTGAGCCATGTCACCTATTGTCTCCAGCCATTGATTCTTAGAGTCCCGAGGGCGGGCCCCAACCCGGAAGTTTGCATCTCCCTACCTGACTCAGTTAAGCTGTCAAGGATTTCATGGATTGATGCCATGTTTTTGTTTGTCCACCACTTACTCTTTTCCAACCTGCACCTATATCAGCTAGTGATGCTCGTTGGGAGGGGGAGGCGATGGTTAGGCATGTGCAGCACGTGACCATCTCAATCTATGTAACTTTATAGCCCAACACTCTACGCCTAACGTCAACCTTACTCACCTTATTATACCACCTAACGTGAGAAAGAGATCGTAAACATCTGTGGTCAAAAACAGTCAACCTTTTCATCTCTTCAATTCGTATTGGCCATGTTTCGTATGCTATAAAACACGAAGCAATATATACGTTTTCAAAGGTGTTTTCATATATTACGATGTCTGATTATTGTAAAAGAGGGGAGGTATTCTTTCTAATCAACAGACACGTTGACTGAAGAAGTAGCAAAGACATGAATTCAAGTGGACATCGGGAAGACATAGATGATGATGATGAGGATACCTAACCAGCAGCCACGAGCTCTGTTCACTGTTAATCGGAAAGATTCCAAGGAGGTCACTACTGTCACTTATTTCGGAGACAGCCTTTTAACTACAGGTGGTATGAACGAAAATATTGAAGCCAGTATCAGAAAGGTGTAAAATCTACTTCACTAAGCATAGAGAACAAGATTCGGATGTTCAGACAATCAACACTTTACTAATAGTTCAGTGTTACCAAAAGCATTACCAAGAGGCTTCAAACTTATATTAACAGCTACCTTTCTTCCATGCTAACGATCAGATGGCCAACTAGATTGGATTAGCAATGAAGAACTCTGGGAAGAAACAGACCAAGGACCTATCACCCAACAGATATGTCAGATAAAAAATCAATGGATCGGGTATACGCTATTTAACACTGTTAGCTGATATCAGGCACCAGACCAGAACTCAAGTGAAACCCGAATATCAAACGGAAAGTTTGATGTCCATCCGAAGGTGACATAGAGGATAACCGATGTGTATGAGATGTCAACTTATGGTAAGTCGTGGCGTCAGTTTAAGAGTACTGAAAAGAACAGGATTATATCGAGATATGCTGTTGAATTTAAGGAGAAAATAATCAATGATACATTGGGAGAACAGAAAGAAAGGCACACCTCCGACTTTCTGAACACATACTGAAAAACCCAAACCTCAAAGGAACCAATGCTCACAATAGTGTCATTACCAGACATCTCCTTGATTAATACGGATCATGAGGTGTAAATTGCTAATTGTTTTTTTTTGATTTACAGCTTGATTTCCACACCGTATTTTCAGTACAAGTGTGGAACTTTCAGCATGGATATCGGTTGCCCAAATTCAGGCATACCATAGATATCGGGTGTGCGCCGGCAGGGGTTCGAACCCCGGACCATGTGCATGGTCGGCGAGAGTCCTAACCACTGTGCCACCGACGCACAATAGACAAAAAGATCACTTCTCCTAAAGTGTGCCGAAGCAATCCCTACCAAACGCCTGAAAACCGATTTATGTGTTCACAGAGAAGCAGTGATCAGTCTTTTCTTGTCGACCTGGTAACTGGGTGTCTTTATTCTCTCTTTCATTTGATAATGTAATCTTTGTCATTAACCGCACCCCTTTTGATGTAGTATAAGTTTGCTTGTCTCTCGTTTCTATGATTTGAGTTGAACTCAGTACATTGTCACCCAATTTATTAGTTACTCACCATCTTACTCATCTCTCGTCGTCATTACGTAACTCTTTTGCCACTGTATGCATACATTTGCTTTGTTTTAACTCGAACTGACTGTGTTAAACTAAATAAGCGAGATTTTCTGAGCACTGTCCCCTAATTCTATAACCTCCTGTCAAATGAAATCATGTAAAATTTGCGAGTATGTTAAAACTTTTCTATAGATGAACTTAATAATAATTTATTTAGGCTGTAAGCAGCTAAGCTGATGAGAAGCCAACGAAATAAACGAGATGGTACCGTCATCTTATTCTGCAAAGCCGCTTTTGTTATTCTTGCTTTATTCAAATATATGGTATCATCTTTTCCCATCTCCCAACGTAAAATTTAAAGAAAAAAAAAGTCACAACTTACTTAAATATGAAACTCCAATACCAATGAAATACTCCCATGGTAAATACTTCCAAGTGATTATTTCTGTTGAAGTCAAGATTGAAGTGAATATAAAAATTGGCCAAGTAACCAAAATATTGAATAAACCTGTTGTAACAAAGAAAATACAAAGAGATTTCAAACTGTGAATTAGAAATAGTAAACAGATGTTGCGTCATATCTATGTATTATGGTTCCTTACAGTGAAGCTTTTTGGTTCATGTTTAATGTAATAAAGCATATATCGACGTTGAGGAGGCCATCGAATGACATCGAGTGCAATGTAGGCCATCACTCGAGTGGAATCCTAATGGGAACGACGAGTAGGTCGTCAGTGCGAGGATGACAAGGAGGAGATCCTGTGATTACTTACTTTACTTCACTTCGGCTATCTCCAACGAGAGGATGAGCCGGCTTCATGAACATCTCGAATTATCGCTGCCCAGGCGCGGCGATCTGATACAAGGTTTTGCGACAGGGTTATCCAATTCTTGTCCCACAGACGGAGTCCGTAGACGGTTTGCAGCCCCAGGCACTCCGTTTGTAAGAGAGTTCATGAAGTTTCATGGGAATTTGGTACGAGTGATGTCCCCAGAATCGCTCGGCCTTTTGTTTGAGAGTGCAGCTCTAGCTTTTACACAACCAAGTGTGGCCTACAAGGCAGTAGGAGTGGAGTAGGGAGTTCACTATCCATTGGCAGCCGGTGACCGGAGTTCGGTTCATACGCCTTTTTGAATGGGGCCAGATAGCCAGGACATCAAACAGGCCCTTTGTCCATACGTCAGCCGGTGAGCTCCAGTGAGCTTCATACGCCAGTCGTTGGAGGTTTGGAATCAGGGTTTAGCCATCTCCCCTAGACTGTCATCCAATGGACAGTCAACCCGGTGAAGAGCGCCGAGCATCCGCTTTTGCCCTCTCACTTTGGTGAAAAACACCTCCGCCACGTGAAGGCAGTGAGTAGGACTTCCTCAGGAGAGGCTATGTAAGACGCCCGGTCATATGGGAGCATTTCAAGAGGTGTGCGGAGGGGTGGCCAACCCGCAGCGCAAGGCACCCACCCCTGACCATCCTGAGGCTTTGGAGGTGAGAGATTATGGGCAATCGTGGAGCTAGCCAGATGAAGAGGACAGCGGAAAATAGAACAAAGTGGAGCCGTGCTCAAGTTGAAGCCCTATGTTCTACTTGGAACCCAACAGGATAATAATAATAATAATGTACCCTACCTATGGTATCAAACAGTTCATACATTTTTAAGTAATGGATTGTACGGATTTGGTTGACTGTTTACAGCATTTCACCATGACCTGATACCGATCACTGAACCACTGGAAAATCAGTGAGTTTTGGGTAGCTGTTTCGTCCCGATTTCAGGTACTTTATCAATATGCACCCACCGGGTTTCGAACCAAGGACCTTCTGGTTACAAGGCGAGCTCGTGGAATTGGTAGAGGGTGGAATTCATGGACCATTGAATCAGATCCCAGTGGCCTAATGGTGTACGAGCTTGTATGGTAGGCAGAAGGTCCTGGGTTCGAGTCATGCGGGTTGCGTACTGAAGAAGAGTTCCGAACTAGGCTGACGAAACAGCTGTGCAGTACTCCCAGGTTTTCTAATGGTTTTCTAACTGATGTCAGCTCATGATGATATCCTGTAACTGATCGTACATTATTATCTGAACAGTATCAGTTTACGAAAGGAACTGTGGTGAAGCTCCATCCCAAACTATTTATTTCATAAACTGCGAATTTGATTCAACTGTTCACCTGAGTAGTTAGACTGAAATAATCTGGTTTGAAATGGTTCGGTCGTCTGAGCTCAGTAAAATCAGATACGCTGTTGATGAATGAGCTTGTCACCAAAAGAGCGAAATGGCCGTCCGGTGTTCAGATTAACTTCCATCTGGTTAGCAAGCACTATTGGTTGTTATGAGTAGTTATCAATTACTAACTTCATTCTATCAGTAGTGTGGAGTGCCCTGCATTTGTACTTGGTTTCGTGAGTGCCATTTGTGATATGTAGCAGATCATCTATTAGGACCTGAATAAATTGTGTTTCCGAAGGAAACCATGGTGGAATGTCAACTCGAATGGGGGGTTGTAATTCAATCTACCTTTAGTGTTGCTGAGTTTCCTTACCTGGATGGTTTTAGCATACACTGGGAAACCTGGGGAGTACTGGAAAGCTGTTTTGCCAACCTAGTTTAGGACTGTTCATCAGTACGCACCCACTGAGGATCGGATCCAGGATTAGCTGGTTACAAAACTACTGGGCTTGTAGACCGTTTTTCCACTGAGACCCGAACCAATGGTCCCTCCATGAATTCCAACTTCTGCCAATTCACAACATGGAGCAACTACTAGAGAATGTCAGCGCTGGAGATTATTTGTCCTCACACTCGACCTGCCATACCCCAATGGTCACGACATGCCAATTCCAGCTATTTCAATGGTCCTCAAGCCAATTTCAGTTCCTGATGAAAGCCATATATGGATATACTTGACAGCCACAAATACTAAAGAAAACCTAATATGACTAGAAAGGCATCCATTCAGTAGTGTTTCAAAACTAGGCGGAATAGATTTCATCCTTGCTAACCAGTCCACACTCCAACAGGTACTTACATGACCGGAAATAGTGATGGGATAGTGCATAGGTTGTCGTCATTTTTCGATATGAATATTTCTAACTTTTTCAACTTAATCACATATAAACCAATATCCCCTATCGATGCAAGTGGTGGTTTGATATCATTGTAATGTATTTCCTAGTCGTTTCAATCAATACAACGTCTCTCATCAACCGGAATTTTACTGAAATAATGCTTTTCCTAGCCGAAATGGATTGCTCTTCCAGAGTCTCTTGCTCTTAGGACAGTGAATTCCAAACTGGTTGAAAAATGAAAATTCTCTGAACTTCTGACCTGACTGGTAGTCAATATAAGGTAGGACTGAACAGTGGTAATATACAGGAATAAAATAAATATCCACTGAGTATGATTATTCAGTAGTTTTCTAGAGTTATTTTGTAGGGATTTACTTAAGATAGTTGGAGGCAGTTGGGAGGAAGTCCTGACTGACCCATGTTTCGCGCTAGTTGGCATTCACCAGTCATATGAAAAAGAGAAGACATTCAGCGAAGAGACTCTTTTCGGCGAATTCATTCACATAGCTGTACAATCGCATTTATATATAATTATTTGTGTGTGTGTGTACATGAGGTTTGTCAAGTTCAGATAACTGATTAGTTAATACAAGGATGATGTAGTATAGAGACAAAGTTAATCAGACAGCAACTAAAGTAAGATTGAGTTGGTAAGCTAGATGACGTAATATAATTGGCTAAAATGTTACAACTTAGGTCAGGATAGCAACAGAGGTAATTACAGGTAGAGATTAAGTAGAAGTGAAATTGAGTGAATAAGTTGGATGACGTAACACGAATGACTAGAAACTGAGCGTTGTTCAAGTCAGTAACAGTGGTAGTGAGGTGTAGAAATTGAATCGGGTGGGGGTAGAGAACAAGAAAGTTGAAAATGTAAAATGTTACAATTGAGAAGACAAAATAATACTAATGAAGAGACAGAAGAAAAGATTAGGTAGAATTTACATGTCGGCTAATAAGATAGATTACGTCCATTGCAAGTGTAGTGATTGAACGAACTTCTTCTGTATGCAGAGTTCAGGACTTAGAAAGTGAATCGCCATTGCTTCTGCAGTTTGAAGAATTCTGATTCGTACACCTTTAGGGAGACTACTTCTTACTCTGTAGACGACTTTTATATATAAATGCGATTGTACAACTATGTGAATGAATTCGTCGAAAAGAGTCTCTTCGCTGAATGTCTTCTCTTTTTCATATTCACCAGTTAGTCAGCAAGGCTTATCTGCAACCTTGAAGGAACTCATGTCCCTTCTGAGATTCCAACTCGCGTCATTAGCCAGTGCTGCAATCAGAGACGTTATCACTGAGCTATTCGGGCTCGCGATTGACCTCCTGTAGTACTGTAGTAGGTTCATTTTGTTTGAGGCTTGATCACGGACTGATATCAGTCGGAGAACCAACTTGAGCTGATGCCAGTACGTGATCAAATTCCTACATCGCAACTCTTGAAACTTAATCTGATGTTCACTAGTGACTCGCTGAAGGACAAAGCTACCTACCTTTCTGGTAAGTAGTCAAGACCAGTGAGGTCTGTCACGTGGAAGATGAGGAGAAATACTCTCCGATGGCATTGGCTGATGGACACACTGAAATCACGAATTGATAGAATTTTGAATTCATGGGCCATTTATTCAAGTTCCAATGACTAAATGGTTTACGAGCTTGCCTTGTAACCGGGAGGTGTTGAATTCTAACCCCCAGTCGATGAGTACTGCCAAAGAGTTCAGTATGTGTTTATCTCTCTTTTTCTGCCTTCTAACGGCTAGTATTCACTAAATCGATAACTACGTAGAGTGGATATGAATAACGTAAATATTGACCTGATTTATAATGCCTATTTTTTGTAATCATTTTATTTTCATTTAGTTCATTATGAAGAGAGAAAAGAAACCCCGAGAGAACAGTAAGATAGCATCTATCCATAGTTATTTACTTGCATAACTGCTCACTCCACTGACTGCGTATTAGACATACTCGAAGACAAATCACTGCGTTCATAACTAATTAACTGACTAGCTCATTATAATAAAGGTTTTTCTGTATTTCTCAATGAATGAATGAAAAAAAAGGATACTTTTTTTATTAACTTTTCGCTATTTTATGCTGCAAATAGCTTTATCAAAGTAGTATTAATAATGACAAATTAGTCATCGTTCCTCACTATCGAGTAATTTAAGCATTGTCAGATTAGCCAACCGGTAAAGATAACAAAACCAGGTGTAGATGTCTGTTGTATTTGATAAGTATGTGAAATTTTATAAGCAGCGTGTGTTTACATAATGAAATTTCTTATGACATTAGTGTTGATTTTGTCACTTCATGAGGGACGGAACAGATCAAATTCTGTTTTAGTCCGTCATTCCTTTTCAGACAATTTGGATTACACTTGATATGAAGTGCTTCTGATATTAGACTCTTTTGTGATTTCTGACATCTTTTTTCTGGAT